GGGCCGTCAGAGAGCAGGGGGGCCGTCAGAGAGCAGGGGGGCCGTCAGAGAGCAGGGGGCAGTCAGAGCGGGGGCCGTCAGAGACCGTCAGAGAGCAGGGGGCCGTCGGGGGCCGTCACAGAGCGGGGGGCAGCCAGCAATAAGCCCCTTGGGAGTAATTTGTGTTAAGGGGCTTGGTCATGAGCCCAAGACTGATATGACTTCTCTGTCAGTCAAGGTATTTAACGTCCTTTTGGACATTGGAAGAGATCCCTAAGCCACTCAGCTGCATACCGCCCCTCATGAACTCATAAACTGTGGATTTGGCACCTGAAAATCCCAAAAGCAGGCAGGGGGGCTGCCCGCCATGGTAGGTTCAGGCTCACCTGAGTGACCCCCAGTGATGGCGGGTTTAGTGTGTGTGGCACACAAGGTATTCTGCTGCTTATCCCCCTTGTCCCTAGGGGCCTGATCACTGTCAACAGCAGCATGACGTACCTCATCGAGCCACTGGCCGGGCGGGGGGGGCTCGGAACCAGCGGGCATGCCGTCTACCGCGCGGAGCACCTCCGGCTCCCCAAAGGCACCTGCGGGCATCGCCACAACCACGCAGCTCAAGTGCTGGAGGACCTCATCCACGGGATGGCGCAGGCGCCCCCTAGTGGCAGGGTGAGTCTATAGCCGGCTCGCTGTTCACTGCCCCCACACCTGGAGTCCTCTAATTTGGCTTCACAGGCTTTTTCCTTTTATTTTTGTAGGAAAAACGGGACATGAGCGGCAGCATGAAATACGTGGAGCTGCTGCTTGTGGCTGATCACGCTGAGGTAGGCGAGTCACATGGCTCTGTCCGTCACAGGCCAGCCAATCAGAGTCCCACGCTGCTGTACAGGCTCCTCCCGCATGTGGTTTAACGTTTCTGGTCCACAGTTCCAGAAGCACGGCAGGGATTATCAACGCACCCGCATGAAACTGCTGGAAGCTGCAAACCACGTGGACAAGGTGCGAGATGTGGGGAGCCTCTCACCTAAACCGACCTGAACTAGGCAGGCTGTATGCCATTTCACATAAGGCTTTGCAGTCTTCTGTGTCCCCACTGGTGTCCCTGTGCCTCTCTCAGTTCTACAAGGGCCTCGACATCCGCGTGGCGCTGATTGGCCTGGAGATCTGGACGGACGAGGACAAGATCAGCGTTTCTGCGAACCCCTACAGCACCCTGGGCTCCTTCCTGGCCTGGAGGCGCAAGCAGCTGCGTCTCTCACCCAATGACAACGCCCAGCTCATCACGTCAGTACCCACGGCGCCGCCAGCCCCCCGCCACACCTGCATCTCTGGCTCCACCAGGTGGTTGGAGGTCCCAGACGGAACCTGTGTGTCTGTGTGTGCAGGGGAATCTCCTTCCAGGGAACCACCATTGGACTGGCACCGCTGAATGCCATGTGCTCCGAGTACCAGTCAGGCGGAGTGAACTCGGTAAGACGGACTGGAGTTATGTATGTTTATCTGAACCCATCTAGAACATGTTTAAGGGGCTTGGTGTCATTACGGGCTATGTCAGTGTCATTATGGGCTGTGTCAGTGTCATTGCGGGCTATGTCAGTGTCATTGCGGGCTATGTCTGTGTCATTACGGGCTGTGTCTGTGTCATTACGGGCTGTGTCAGTGTCATTACGGGCTGTGTCAGTGTCATTGCGGGCTATGTCAGTGTCATTGCGGGCTATGTCTGTGTCATTACGGGCTGTGTCAGTGTCATTGCGGGCTATGTCAGTGTCGTTGCGGGCTATGTCAGTGTCGTTGCGGGCTGTGTCTGTGTCATTACGGGCTGTGTCTGTGTCATTACGGGCTGTGTCTGTGTCATTGCGGGCTATGTCTGTGTCATTACGGGCTGTGTCAGTGTCATTACGGGCTGTGTCAGTGTCATTACGGGCTGTGTCAGTGTCATTGCGGGCTGTGTCTGTGTCATTGCGGGCTGTGTCTGTGTCATTGCGGGCTATGTCAGTGTCATTGCGGGCTGTGTCTGTGTCATTGCGGGCTGTGTCTGTGTCATTGCGGGCTGTGTCTGTGTCATTGCGGGCCCCTCCCACACAGTGCTGATTCTCTGGCTACTCTAACAGTCTGCGCCCCCTGCAGGACCACTCGGAGAGTGCAGTGGGTGTGGCAGCCACCATGGCCCATGAGATGGGCCACAATTTCGGGATGAGCCACGACACCCCTGGGTGCTGTCTTGCGCGCGCCAACGACGGGGGTTGCATCATGGCCGCCTCCACGGGGTGAGATGACGTCCCCATCCTGCTAGCGATGGCTGGCCCCGCCCATTTAGCAGGAGATACACAGCCTGTGGCAGCTTTTGGGAAGATGGGTGGCACCTGCAGGCTTGAATCACCTATATCTGTCACTGAGGGTGTGCTAATGACAGGACCTCCCCCCCCCCTTTCAGTCACCCCTTCCCAAAAGTGTTCAACGCCTGCAACAAGAAGGAGCTACAGCGCTACCTGAGCTCTGGGGGGGGGAAGTGCCTCTCCAACCCCCCCAACACCAGCACCATGTATGGGGGCCCTCGCTGCGGCAACGGCTACCTGGAGGACGGCGAGGAGTGCGACTGCGGGGACGCGGAGGTCGGGATCCTTGGCGGAGACTGCCGCTCGCTCGGCCATGTGAAACGCGGCCTCACGCCTCCGCACTGCAGAAGCGGCTCGAAGCACCACACACACCTGCTTCTGAATCCTGCATGTGACCGTGACGTGTCGCCGTGACCGTGACTGTCGCTGCTCGCGCATTGTCTCACCATTATGGCAGCAATCTCCCTTCTTTTTCCCCATTGAGAAAGGGCCAGTAAAATCTGTGTGGTTCTCAGGTTCTGCTTACAGTAACATTTGAGTAGTACTTCTGACACACTGAGGGCCCTTTACCTGCGTTAAAATACAGTGGTTCTTTCATCTTGGGTGTCTGGCAGTAACTGTCACACGGTCTGTTGCTGTCTCTGCTGCAGGAATGCTCCAGTCCGTGCTGCAATGCTCATAACTGCACGCTGAAGGCAGGAGCCCAGTGTGCACACGGCGTCTGCTGTGAGAACTGCAAGGTACCATCCCCTCCCAAGCCCACTCACCTGCCTGTCTTGTCCCCTCTCCTGTGAGGCATTATCCTCCGTACCTCCTCCTCTTTCTTAGCTGAAGAGCCCAGGGGTGTTGTGCCGCCCTGCCTCGGGGTCATGTGACCTCCCGGAGTACTGCGACGGAAAGTCAGAGTCCTGCCCCGCCAACTTCTACCTGATGGATGGGACGACGTGCCTGGGCGGGCTGGCCTACTGCTACACGGGCATGTGCCTGACATTGGAGCAGCAGTGCCTCTCCCTCTGGGGACAAGGTGGGCATCGGGTGGGCATCATGCGGGCATCGGGTGGGCATCATGCGGGCATCGGGTGGGCATCGTGCGGGCATCGGGTGGGCATCGTGCGGCCATCGGGTGGGCATCGTGCGGGCATCGTGCGGGCATTGTGCGGGCATCGGGTGGGCATCGTGCGGCCATCGGGTGGGCATAACAGGGCATAGACAGCAGGAACAACTCAGCTTAATGCCAGCTCTCACAAGGAGCATCCATCCATCCCCCTATCCACCCAACATCCCTCCATCCATCCCTCTATCCACCTAATATCCCTCCATCCATCCCTCTATCCACCTATCTTCCATCCATCTATCCATCTATGCACATTTTGTATAACATACTGCTTACTTCAGTACATGTCAGTAGTAGCATCATGAACAGCACATAAGTCACTAAAAACACAAACATAATGTTTCTTCTGTTTTTTTACTAACAGCTGCTGTGTAGGTGCTGTAAAGCCTAATATTTTAGCATGAGTCAAATCTATAGGAAGTACGAATGCAAAATGAGGCTGAATGACTAAGCGTAGGGTCGTTTATTTATTACTAGATTTTCTTTATTAGCTGCCTCAGCACAGTCACTTGACCACAGAATTAGCTGCTTTCCTCCATAGTTTCCATTAGTTTGTTATAACTTCCTACCTCAGCTGGCTGCACGTCCCTCGGGTCCCACGGTCCGGCCACGGCTGCCTGTCAGCGGTGACACGTCAGAGGCACGTCCTCCCGATGCATGCTGCTGGCTCTAGGGCTCCCCCCCATTCCATCCCCCAGTGATGCAGGGCTCGATCTTCCTTGTTACTGATGAATAATTGCTGAAATGCTTTAAAGCAGCCATTGCATCTGCCTTACGATGAGTACAGCAGAGAATCTGGATCCTGAGATTAACTGGCTATTGACGTCCTCTGCTTATGGCCTGGTTAAATGAGTGTATGTTTCGGAGTAATTAGGAATTCATTTATTCGTGTTTCTTGCCTATCTTGCGTGCCTCAGTGAGTTTATTCAGTAGCAGCGTTTCACCGAATGGTTTGACATCTAGGATGCACTTTCATCAGGTCGCTCTGCCTGTTTCCCTGACAGGAGCCAGTCCTGCGCCCGACCTGTGCTTCATGGAGGTTAACAAGGCCGGCGACTCTTATGGCAACTGTGGCAAGGACACAACGGGGGAGTACAGGAGGTGCCGGGAAAGGCAAGCGGGCACTGCTAGGAGCCGGAAGCCTGTGGCCATGCCCATGACCTAATAGCATGAAGGTTGTAGGCTGAGTCCCAGGTTGGGTCCTGCTGCTAGTTCCTAGAGTTTGGTACTTGACCTGAATAGATTTGACCTGCCTCCTGCTAATCAAGGGCCTGTTGATGCTGCCAAAAGGGATGTGAAATGCGGTAAGATCCAGTGTCTGAGCACCGCACCCAAGCCCCTGGAGAGGAACGCTGTAGCCATCGACACCAACATCCCGCTGGGTGTCGACAAGGTCCTGTGCAGGGGGACCCACGTGTACCAGAGCAGCCAAGGGGACACGTTGGACCCGGGCCTGGTGATGACTGGAACCAAGTGTGGTCAAAATGGGGTGAGTGTTGTCTCTGGGAAACAGGAGCATCCACGTCTCGCTCTCTACGCGCCTCGCTCTCTACGCGCCTCGCTCTCTACACGTCTCGCTCTCTACACGTCCACAGATCTGCTTCGAGGGAGAGTGCCGCAACGCTTCCTTCCTGCAGGCCAACGACTGCAGCAGCAAGTGCCACAGTCACGGGGTAGGTAGGCCTCTGGGCCCCTGGGAGGATGGCTGGCTCTTGGCCGCAGGAGGCCCTGACAGTGCCCAGCAAGGAGGGAGGCCTTCTGAACTCCACACTCAATCATCTATTTTAATAAGGGCTCCAAACATGTTGTGCTTGAGAACCTGTTGTGTTTATGTATATATTCCTTCAGTTTTGCATATGTGAAGCACTTTGTCAGCAGAAGCTGTTTTTAAAATGCAATATAAATAAGTAACTTACTTTGAGGTGGTATGTGGCTGTGATCGGAAGGTTGCCGGTTCAAGGCCTCAGCAGAACAGTCACAGTCTGTGGGCCCGTGAGTAAGGCCCTTAACCCTGGGCTCTGCAAGGTGGCTGTCCTTCGCTGTGACCCCCCAGGGAAAAGAGGATTTCCCCATGGCTCTTAGTAAAGTATTAGTACTCTACTCTAAGACTTATCCAAGACAGATTGTGTACCAGGCTTCCCACCCCATATAGTCTGATGTTCAGTGGACTCATTTGCCAGGTTCCTGTCAGTGTCACTGTGCACGATTCCTGTTGTATGAGGAGACAGAGAACGTCTTTGGAGCTGTAACAGTCTGTGAGCGACACCATGTAGTTTCAGTGACATTCGCTTCCTGACATTGTCCTCTTCCTCCTTCCCTCACAGCTGTGCAACAACAACCACAACTGCCACTGCACAGACGGCTGGTCACCACCCAGCTGTGTGCTTGAGGGGACAGGTGGCAGCATCGACAGCGGCCCGGTTCCCCCCCGCAGTAAGACCTCCATAACTGTCACTCTGAGGACACCCTGCTTGCTCTCGTCGCCATGTGTGCAGTGACCAGCGGCTTCTCCCTGTGTCCCCCCAGGCCGACAGCTTCTCCTCTGCATCCTCCCCTTTGTCTTCCTGGGTCTGGGAGCTGCAGCTCTCTGGTACAGTTGCAAGAAAAGGCGCTGGCACAAGAGGAATCACGTCCCTTCATCCACATCCACGTGAGCCAGTTAAACACTTACATACAGTGTGATCCCCACATCCAAGTGAGCCAGTTAAACACTTACATACAGTGTGATCCCCACATCCACGTGAGCCAGTTAAACACTTACATACAGTGTGATCCCCACATCCACGTGAGCCAGTTAAACACTTACATACAGTGTGATCCCCACATCCACAGTTTCAGTAACCATGGTGTCAGTCATCTGTGGTTTACTGTGGTCCAAAAAAAGGAAAATTCCAGAAATAAACGGTTCATAAGTTTCAAATGGAGTGCCATGTGAATATAGGCTGTAACATGGAATAACATGGTGGTGCCCAGTACATCACTGGTATGGGATTTGTCCCCATTCCTGCGCTTCCCCGCAGAGCTCTCCTCCAGTCTGCCTCTAGCGTTCTCCCTAACCGCCACACTATCGCAAGGATAAAAAGCAGGACTTGCATCGCTTCATCATCCCTTGAAAATTGTGCTAAAACATCAGACTTCCTTTCATTCGAGAGAATGAGTACAATACTGCATAATAATGTGTAATGTACTTCATTATTACTGTATGTAATGTTGGTAATATCTTACTGTGCCTAATTTAGCAATTAAACCATATGTATGTACACGAAAATCACGTTATATATGTGGTCCGTGAATTGTTCGCTATTATCTGCGGTTTCGGCTGTCCGCAGTAGGTACAGGAACATACACTATATTGCCAAAAGTATTGGGACACCTGTCTTTACACACACACATGAACTTTAATGACATCCCATTTTTAATACAAATGTTTTAATATGGAGTTGGCTCACCCTTTGCATATGTAACAGCTTCAACTCTTCTGGGAAGGCTGTCCACAAGGTCTAGGAGTGTGTTTACGGGAATTTTTGACCATTCTTCCAGGAGAGCATTTGTGAGGTCAGGCACTGATGTTGGACGTGAAGGCCTGGTTTACAGTCTCCACTCCAATTCATCCCAAAGGTGTTCTATTGGGTTGAGGTCAGAGCTCTGTTCAGACCAGTCAAGTTTCTCCACACCAGACTCGCTCATTCATGTCCTTATAGACCTTGCTTTGTGCACTGGTGCGCAGTCATGTTGGACCAGGAAGGGGCCATCCCCAAACTGTTCCCACAAAGTTGGGAGCATGAAATTGTTTAAAATGGCTTTGAATGCTGCAGCATTAAAAGTTCCCATCACTGGAACTAAAGGGCCATGCCCAACCCCTGAAAAACAACCCCACACCATAATCCCCCTTCCACCAAACTTTACACTTGGTACAATTCAGTCAGGCAAGTCCTGGCAACCGCCAAACCCAAACTCATCCATCGGATTGCCAGACAGAGAAACACGATTCATCACTGACTGCTCAGCCATGGAAACCCATCCCATGAAGTTCTCTACTCACTGTTCTTGAGCTAATCTGAAGGCCACATGAAGATTGGAGGTCTGTAGCTATTGACTCTGCAGACAGTTGGCGACTTCTGCACACTGTGCACCTCAGCATGCGTTGTCCCCGCTCTGTGATCTTACGTGGCCTGTCACTTTGTGGCTGAGTTCCTTTTGTTCCTTCGGTTTCACTTCGTTATAATACCACTAACAGTTGACCATGGAATATTTAGTAGTGAGGAAATTTCAGGAATGGACTTATTGCACAGGTGGCATCCTATCATGGTACCACTCTTGAATTCACTGAGCTCTTGAGAGCGACCCATTCTTTCACAGATGTTTGTAGAAGCAGTCTGCATGCCTAGCTGCTTGATTTTATACACCTGTGGCTGTGGAAGTGATTGGAACACCTGAATTCAATGATTTGGAGGGATGTCCCAATACTTTTGGCATTATAGTGTATCTTCCATATACGCTTGGAGAGATGAGGGGCTGAAATAGTTCTGGTTGCTGAAGCACAGCAACACTTCATACAAACGGTAGCTGGTAGATGTTGTTTGACTTGGGGTCTGAATCTGGGAATCAGAGGTAAGTTGCTGATCCACTGCTGTAATGAATCTATAACCCTCATTGAATTTCAGTTTACGTTGATGAAAATCATCAATTCCGATGTCTTTGGTGCCTGAGTGTGAATGCCCTGTGTAACTGGAGTTAGAACTGTTCAGATTTAGCCAAGTACCTCCCAAGTTATGCACACAAAGGAAATATGCCTTCGTTTGAATGAAGAACCATCCTAACAGAGACACTTTGCTGTCATTCCAGTGTCCCTGTTAGCCACGGAGCACTTGGCACGCATGTCAACCAGCAGAAGAAGCAGGGGCCGGACGGAGAGGTGAGGGGCTGTTTGGATGGATGGATGGATGGATGGATGGATGGATGGATGGATGGAAGGAAGGAAGGAAACGCGTGAGCTGTGCTCGATGATGCCGTCCTTGTGTTTTGCAGGTGGGTCGCCGGCAGAGCCCAGCCGGTCCCTCCAGGGTCCGGTCCTCCATAGTGCGTCCCACTGAGAAACCACCGCCTGTACCGGCCTACGCCCTACCACAGAAAACTCCCCGAATACCCCCATCCAGACCACCCCCAGTATTCCAGCAGCCCATTTCCGTCTCAGCTAAACCTCGGCCTGAGCCCCCCCAAAGACCCCCTCCCCCTCACGTGTAAGAAGGACCTCCTGACTCTTTCGGGTGTCATATGAGACTACGGGGGTTGGACAATGAAACTGCAACACCGGTTAATAGTGTTTGTGGTTTCATGCCTGTATATTCAGGGCCTGGTGGCCAGTCTTCACTGATTGCACGTTCCATCAGTAAGAGTGTGAAGGTTGAATTAGCTGGGCAATAGCACAGCTGTGCATAAAATATTGCAATCCATATAACATAATGGGAGACATATCAAAGTTCAAGGGAGGACAAATTGTTGGTGTGCGTCTCGCTGGTGCATCTGCGACCAGGACAGCAAGTCTTTGTGGTGTTTCGAGAGCCACAGTACCCAGGACAATGTCAGCATACCCCCATAAAGGACGGACCACATCCTGCAGGAGTAACTGTGGATGCAACAGGAAGCCGTCTGAAAGGGATGTGCAGGTATTAACCAGGATTGTATCGAAAAAACATAAAACCACAGCTGTCCAACTCACTGCAGAATTAAATGTGCACCTTGACTCTCCTCGCCAGGAGCTCCACAGGGTCAGTATTCATGGTGAGGCTGCTATAACCAAACCTGTGGTCACCCGTGGCCACCTGCGCTTCCAGTTTTATTGTCCAACCCCTGAATATGCTGTTTCAGTTTTTGACTTACACAAATGCACTGTGCATACAAGATGTCATGTTTTCATAAAGCAGTAGTTTAATTAAACATACTACCTTCCATGCTCAGGTATGCTGAAGAGTGGCCCCAGCCTGACCCCAACCCTAACCCCAACCATGAAGGCCAACCGGTGCCCCCTAAAGGTCACAAACCGAAAGCCAGGTAATTATGCTATAGGTTACCTGGCAGCTGTAACGTTTTGGGATGTCTCTTCGCCCAAACCCATGGTGTTTGTGAAACTCCATAAATGTTACACTAAAAGTGCATTATTAACGTTTAATGCAATATGAGATTTGTTACAGGATATGCTGTCCTCAGGTTTTCATTTTGCTTCTCCTTTACCTCTAATATGCTGTCTTATTATTATTATTTTTTACAGTATTCAGAATGACCTCAGTGGCGAAAGCTGAGGACAGTCCTGCTTGGAATTCTTGGTATCAGGTCATCATAAATTGCACTCTTGGTCTTTTGAAGCATCCCTTTACAAGAACATAATTAGCTGCGGGGGATCTGTAAGATGGTTAAAATCCCTAGTATTCAATCTGCCTTACATACTTGAAATTTGAAATCCTGTATACTTGTAATTTTTGTCGCATAAATAAGAGTATTACATGGCTTGTTGAATATCAGTATGTGACATGCTGATCTGGCTTTTATTGTCATAATATTACCATTGTAGTTCAGGAAAAAAGCATGAGTAAATTATGAAGTCACTTAGCTAAACATTGTGTTTTGTGAACAGAACAGTGTGAGAGAGATTTCAGGAGGAGAGAAGGGGAGCCCGGAGCTTTCAGCTGGTGGTACTGGGCAGATCTCTCCCATCTCCCATCAGGCTAGACAGAGCCACTCTCCGCTGAGTAGTAGCAATAACTTTGGGCTGTGAAAGATAATGGGTACAAGCAGCTGCCAATTCCCCCTTTACATTTTTCTGGGCCTGAACCGCTGGAGTGTCTGGGCGCTGGGGCTCATGGTGCTAAACTAATCAGTTTTGTTCATTCTTTGCATCTGGAAAAAATGTTGTTGGACATTGGCTGAATTGTACATATAAACTCACAGATACAGCTGAGTAACGCACTGTAAATATAATTTCAGGAACATTTTGTAAATAGTACGCAGCAAAGAATGGAGCCAGAAGGCAGCCGGTTTGAGCAGAGCCACAGATCCTTCACAGGTTAAAAGCTAACGCCAGACATTTCAGGTTTTAGAAGTTTACAGTGCAGTTTCTCAACAAACTTAAAAATTTAGTTCTTCACAGAGTCCTGCTCTGCCAGGCTGCTGTTGTCCATGAGTCTGATGTCAGTCAGTATGCACATGACAGAAAGCCAGAGCGAAGACCGCGGCCAGCAAGCCCCCTGAGTGTCACGTCACTGTTGATAGACCAGGGAGCTGCAAATACAGAGACAATTCTTTAAATATCAAGTAGATGAAGGTCTCGCCTACCTTTGAAAGATGAAAAGGTATGCTGGTTTTTCACAGTGTCAACTGGCATATCAGAGATGCTTCTGTGTGACAAAGTTGAGTTTATAGAATTATTTCTTACGTTTACTTTCTGCGAGCTTTATGTGACATTAAAAACCCAGCACCTCAAAGCATGTATTCAATAATGCGGTTCAGAATAGAGGGAAATTGGGAAATGATTTTAAGCTTACTTTTTTTGCACTATATTGACTATTGATGTAGATTACATAAACAAAGGCCTTGTTTAAATATATTTCTGGACCTATGCAAAACAGCTTGTGAGGTACATTGTGCCTTTTTGTTATTTTACACGAATATTAAACTTATTAAATGGAACTCGTTAATTTGTTTTTCTTTTTAATTGCTCTGTTTTGCCATTATAACACTATTCTTTATTTATATAACACTATTCATACATAGAATGCAGCTCAAAATGCTTCACATATGGGACTAAAATAAAACCAGACAGAGAAACAACTACAGCAAAGAACAGCACAATACAGGTCAATCAAATTATAGAAGGATTAGATCAATCTAAGTAAATGTATCCAGAGTAAATACAAGCTAAATAAACAAATACAATAAAATATAAAGAAATAAAAGGTTAAAGTTATAGAAGTATAAGCCAGTGAAAAGGGCAATTACATATTTTATGGATATAGAAACAAAACGGTGAGAGAAAAGGAAATAAATATCACAGGTAGTAAAAGAACACAAACAAAAAATACCACAATGATAAGAGTGAAAACGAAAATAAAATGAGGCATAATAAAATACTGTAAACTGTTTAAAATGCCAAACTAAAAAGATGCATTCTCTAATGTCTGGTAGTGTTCCACAGTTTTGGAGCAAAATAGCTAAAAGCTATATTTATGTTTCACCCTTGGAATACACATAAGTCTAGGATTGGTAGATCTCAGACTTGTATGAGTACAAAGCCTTAAGAAGGTCAGTAATGTATGAAGGTGCTGTTGTCCATTTAGTGCTTTATAAGTAAGTCAAAGGATCTTAAAATCCATTCTAAGAAACATAGGTGGCCTATGGTGGTTATACAGGATTGGTGTGATATGATCTGTTTCCGTACTTGATAATATTCTGGCAGCAGCATTCTGAATTACTTGTAACTTATATGTAGTCGTTTTCGGTAAACCCACACAAAGGGAATTACAAGGATAAAAGCATGTAGGCCTATCAATTTTTGGCATCATTATGCAATAAAAAAAGATCTGATCTTTGCTGTGTTCCTCAGATGATAAAATGCTGTCTTTGTAATACACTGGCTTTCAAAAACAGTTCAGAATTACACCCAGATTTCTAACCTCACCTTTTGCCTGTGGTATCACATTGTCCAGCCTGGACTGCAAAGCTATCCCTCCCATTTTACAGGATTTCATTAATATGGAAGGTAAACAACTTTTTCTAAAACTTTACACATAAAAGGAAAATTAGCAACTGGAGTATCATCGAAGGATAATTTCGGTCAAAATTCAGCACATGTAAAAGCATCTGGAAACGTGCCAGCTTGAAGTGATTTATTAAGCGCTGCACTGAGGGTGGCTCCGCGGTGTTTATGTGTAACTGGTAAGTGGTAGTTATACTGCGGGATTTAGCTATAGCCTACTGGTAAGTTCAGATATACTGCCAAGGTATACTGGCAAGTGCCCAGCGCGCTCGCGACCCAACGGTCTCCGTCCAGGGGGAGGGACTCTCCAGCACAGCCTCAGCTCTGCCTTCTTCGCCAGTAGGCGTGATTGCCGTTCGGCGATGGTCTTCTTAACCCTCAGTTTACTCTTAGTTCTTTTGCTGTATGTTGCTTGTATATTCAAAGCGGCTTTCCTCCATTAACCTGGTTTAGGATTCATGCTTCCCTAAAAGTAATGAATATTAAATATCACCAATTAATTGTCCTGATCGATCAATATGCTCACATATACTTAACCTTGCAAATATCTCCAATCCATTCGTTTTAAACAGTAACTGTACAACTGCCAAAATAGATTGTACCTTTTCGGTGCTTGATATATATCAAGTATGCCGATACCAGATGGATCCATTAACATGCCATTAGGTTTGGGTAGTGTATAAAATTATTTTGGCTGCCGAAGGGAGAGATGGATCGATTGATTGATTGGAGCCCTTTCCATGATCAGGAGCGCTGAACTTATTGAGGTTTCATGATTAAGGTGAGAAACTTTAGGGAAAGATGACATCGGCTTGTGCGCGACAGTGTGTCCTCCCCAGCGTCTATGCTTCAGTATTTATATGTTGTTTTCTGGCTGTAGAGCAAAAGCCTGTTGTTATATCTAAATGAACTTATATGGATAAAGTAGTACAAATAACTTTTGCAGTAGTCTACTGAACAATGGGGGAGGGGCGCAGCTACGTTATACATAGAACAAAACAGCTGAGGAAAACAGCAATTCCAAAAAAGACTTAAGTATAGCATTTCGCAGTTTAATAACACATTACGTTAAGCTTGACAAATAACACAACTTTTCAAATAAAAGCAGCAAAAGATGGGAAAATAGTTTCCTGTAGAAAACGACGTCCATTGCTTCGGAAGTTACGCCGCTGAATACTAATAAGCAGCACCCTGCTTCTACTTTACACGTGACCTACGTACGATATGATTTACTTCCCGTTTTCAAACCACGGAGACAAGGCTCCACCTGATTGATGAATAGTCCAACCAATAAAATCGGCATAATGACACTGTCCCTAATATTGACAGGAGCGACAGCCTATAAGATGCTTCAGAGGCCGCCCTAAGTACATTTGCCGGAAGCTCAGGTCCAGTTCTTGGTTGTTTTCTTGTAATGGCGGATCACGTAGAAGGAGACGGGATTGGTTTCGATGAGAACAGGTTAGACGATTAAAATACGGATTTCTTAACTTAACTACTACAAGCTCGTATAAAAGTTATTTTTAAATATTTGCTATGGTTACCTTCCATTCCAGATTATGATGTTTTTAGCTGGCTTGCTCACTTCAGTAAAGTTGCCCCTGTCGCTAGCTGTTCAGCTAACGGCCAGAAACGGCACGCTGACTCCGTGCTGTGCACTCCGCCGCTCTCGGCTGGCTGTTAGCCGGCACTCTGTGCTGGTTTTGGGTTTGAGTTGTCGCCTTATACGAGTTACCAGTACCGTGCTGTACAGCTGTCGATGTCTCGTCTCCTGCTGAACTATCTGCTGCATGCATACAAATATATACGTATGAATGAATGGGGAGCCCGATACTGCTGAGAATGAGGCCGGTGTGTGTTATTTCTGATGGGAGAAGGCCGCCCGGCCACTGCCCTCCTACCGTCTCTCTAAGCCTGCTGGGACTGAAAACTCCCATTTTGCCACGTTAATACAATCGGCCACCCAGCGTAAAATATGCATCTTTAAATATGGTGTTAAGCATTTATTGTCCTTTCCCATTGGTTATTGATGGCACGTGATATGGTTACTTGTGTATTTTGTGTTTTAAATGTAGTGATCGACATGTTTAATGAAGGTGTTGTTAGTTACATGGCTTTATAGGTGTTTACCTGTATGAGTAGTGGTGAAGTTTAAGCTGTTGGTCAATTATAGTTTTTTCATTCCTGATAGAAATTGACACTATGGATGGCCTGTAAATTGAATGAATGTGAAGTTGGGATGCTTTTGTATGCCTCGAATCTTGGGCTTGCATCAACTACCATCCTTTTTTTGTGATGGCTGGCCTCATCTGAACAGAATGGCCCTTTGTCTGTCTGACTTTCATGACCCATTTCTTCCTCAGGATGGCAGAAGCCCTTCGTTTTCGTGGCCCTGCTCCCCCCAGCCCAGTGATGCGGGGCCCTCCGCCACTGATGAGGCCCCCGCCCCCTCCATTTGCCATGATGAGGGGCCCACCCCCTCCTCCACGGCCTCCATTCGGACGTCCACCATTCGACCCCAGCATGCCGCCCATACCTCCTCCTGGGGGTATGCCCCCGCCGGTGGGACCCCCACACTTACAGGTATGAGAGATTCGGGCACCATACAGAGCTGAGGTTGTCTCCAATAAACAGTGATGGTGTCCAGTTCTGTCATCTCTGACGGCCAGTGTTTGTGCTCATTGAATACAACCTCTCCTTCTGGCCCGTTACGCTCGGACCCCGTCCGACCTCCTCTCCGTCTGGCCCGTTACGCTCAGGGCCCCGTCCGACCTCCTCTCCGTCTGGCCCGTTACGCTCGGGCCCCCGTCCGACCTCCTCTCCGTTTAGTTTAACATTTGCAACGGGAGGTCTGGTCCGTCTGACCTATGTAAGCCCAGTGCCTGCTGTGTGAGGAGACCATCTCCTCATCGCTTTGTAAAATATTTCCTGTGTCTAGCCTGCTGTATATATTTTGTAAAGATTGATCCCACACATCGGTTTAATTTGTCGTGTCTATGTGCCTCTATGTGCCCCAGAGACCCCCATTCATGCCGCCTCCAATGGGCAATCTGCCTCCCCCCCCTGGAATGATGTTCCCCCCTGGAATGCCCCCTGTACCCTCCCCGGGGGGGCCCACGCTACCACCTGCTGAGGAGATCTGGGTGGAGAACAAGACCCCAGAAGGGAAGGTATGCATCTCCTCAATGTGACTCAAGTGTTACTTAACAGAGAGGAATCAAGCTTTGTGATGTTAGACTTGAGGAGTCTTATCCACAAAGGGCCGGTGTGTGTGCAGGGTTTTGGGGTGACCTATAGGTCAGCTGTTCAAACCCAGGTGTGAGGACTCTTCAGCCAATCAGTCCACTAATTAGTTAATTAGTAATCTAATTAGGGAGTTGCGGAGAAAACCTGAATACTGTCTGGATAAGATTGGCAACCCATGAATTAAGGTGCCTTCCATTTATCTTGGAGCTGGGAATGATGTCACATCCGTGTTAACCGTGTTCCAGTAGAAGAAGTTGGAAAGACATTTAGCAATACCCAGTTCTAGCCAGATTCATTGTTAGCCATATCAGTAGATTACTCATTATGTGGTCTTTGGCATATATAAACAGCAACAAGTCCACATTTAGTGGTTAGACAGTTCTGTGTCTACGACTGATACAAATAAGGCACATGTGAAAATAGACTGTTTATAACCTCAGTATTTCACTTCTGCTGATGAAGGGCACAGCCATCTTGGATTCTGAGGTCGGGGTTGCAGTGGTTTCTCTGAGTTTCCAAGTCAGAATTCCGACTTGAGGGGGTGTTCCTGTTGTTGAAGTTTCCCAGAGTTCCCTGCTTCACCTGACATGTTTCTGCGTGGCTTGTGCTTTTTGATGGCATCACCACTGAGTCCTTCACCTTCTGCTTCCCCCTGTCGTCAAGGTGTACTACTATAACGCCCGTACCC